AGTATGATGTTCATTGTGTAGTTACTTGGTCACTCAGAGCTATTCGCTGATAAACACAGCTTTTGATATTTTTTACTTGGAGGGTGGTGAAGCACTGAAATGGGTTACCTAGGGAGGTGGTGGAATCTGCATCCTTGGAGGTATATAAGGCCCAGCTTGAGAAAGCCCTGGCTGTGATAATTTAACTGGTGCTAGTCCTGTTTTGAGCAAGGGTTTGGGCTAGATGACCTCCTGAAGTCTCTTTGAACCCTAATCTTCTACGATTCTATGCTTCTGTGCACTATTAGTTACCTTTGTTCTTCGCCATATTATTATAAAAGGTGATATTGTTATCTTTAAAGATTTTTTTTCTTGTTTAGGAGACTTGGAAAAGAGAAGAAGTAAGTCTTTGTCTTTTTCTTTTGTGTATTCTACTGCTCTGTAGGAATCTTGTGGAATGAAAAGAAAATTCATTGAGTTATTAGGCCTCACCCCACTTTCCTGTTTTTGATAGAGTAGATTACTAGGCTAATTTTGTCAATAACATATTTGAGCACTTGCTGGTTCTGAGCAGTGCTGCTCATACATTGCCAAAATTGAAATAGACTCACCCGCTAGTTGTTTGTATTCTCCAAGAACCATAACACTCTTGCAGAGACACGGTAGGAAAGGCCACGTACACACGGAAAGGACTCTGCATTGAACCGCAAATGGAATGCAGTTCATGATGTAAATGGTGTTACTGCTCCTTTCACAGCAGAACCCATACTGGCAGAAGAGCATAGTGTGTCATATTCACCTTTTCTAATTAGTTGTCGCCATGAAGTTTTTTCTTCAATTGATCAAAGCAAGAATATCATCTTCTCTATCTACTACGTAGCAGGATAGGAATGGGGCTAGCCCACGGATTGAAGAGCTAGCTCACTACCCATGGCCAATATTCATGCTAATCGACAAAGAAAGGATCTCACTCACCCTCTTCAATTCATAAGTCAATGGACATTTACTGAACTGTTTTCTTCTTCTCCCCATTTTTCTTTTGCAGAGGAACTCCAGGAGCAAATGGGTGAGTTTGCCTACTTTACTCAATACTTACAGTCCACTGACCAAACTTTGTGTGCCCTGCATGGGTTCCAAAAATTTCAACTGCAGAAGGGATGCTCTCATTGCATGCCCCTTGCATCAGGGAAGTGGAGGGTCTGTGCAGATTACTCTGGAATCCTGGTATGTCAGTGAGCTGAGACCTCATCAGCACTTTGCAAAGAAAGTGAGAGGGGTCGGGGTTCAAGGGCAGTTGCGCATGTGAGAAAAAACATCCACGCGCTACAGGAACTGAACTTATGCACTGAATGGAAAAGCTCTGGATGGGGAGTGTGGCAGGACCGAGTTGCTCGTGCTGTGCCTGACCTTGTAGTAGCTGAAGCCATGTGGACACTCCACCCAGTTGAGGCCTGAGGTACCTCCCGGATTGCAAACATAAGGTAGGGTAGTAGGGAGTCCCAATCCTTCCCGTCCCGAGCTACCTTATCATTGCTTTGAGGGTTCGGTTAACCCTTTCTACCAGCCCATGGGTCTGTGGATGATAGACTGAAGTTCTCAGGGTATGTATATGGAGTAGCGTACAGAGGTCCTTCATTAGCTTTGACCTAAATGGGGTACCTTGGTCTGTTAATATCTCCTTTGGTAACCCCACTCGGGCAAAGATCCCCACCAACTCTTTAGCTATCGTTTTAAAGGCCGTGTTCCGCAGGGGTACGGCTTCTGGGTAGCGAGTAGCATAATCCAAAACAACAAGTATATATTGGTGGCCCCGGGCTGTCTTCTCCAGGGGTCCCACTAGGTCCATGGCTATTTGCACGAAGGGGACCTCTATGATGGGAAGGGGTACCAAAGGTGCCCTCAAGTGGGGAGGGGGACTGTGCAGCTGACACTCCGGGCAGGACGCACAGTACCTCCGCACTTCTTCATGTACTCCGGGCCAGAAGAATCATCGCAGGACTCGTGCCAGGGTCTTCTCTACCCTGAAATGCCCCCCACAAAGATGACTATGGACCAGACTTAATACAGCATTCTGGTATTTTTGAGGTACTAGGATCTGCTGTACCTTCTGCCCCTTTACTGGTGTAACCTGGTATAAGAGATTCTTCTTCATTATGAAGTAGGGTCCTGGTCCCTGGGTTTTCCCTTCCACGGGGACCCCATCTATTTCGGTCACCTCCTTCCTGATGTTGTCATACCTTGGGTCTTCAGGCTGGTCCTTTCCAAAATTTCCTCTCCCAGGGCTAATCTGCCTGAGATGTAGGGGGCCAGTCTCTGTTGCTTCTATTGGTTCAGAGGCGTTAGGGTGTGGGTCAGACTCGGGTACTTCTCCTTCCTGGGTGGCATCCTTTTCAGCTGCTCGGATCTGCCTACCTCCGAGAGCAACCCTCTGGCTTTGGGCCAGTATTCAGGTTCCCAAGGCCTTAGCTGCCCTTCTTTCCCATTTCGTCTTTCTACGCTGTCTGGGAGCGGAGAAGAAATCTGGGGATATTTCAGAGAAGGTTGGAGGTTGACAGTCTACTGTGGATGCCTCACTACTTTCAGGGCTTCCCCCTTTCTCCAATTCCCCTGCCGGGAGTAAGTCTTCAAACTCTGGGAAGTCCCTCCCTATGAGCACCGGGTATGGGAGTTTAGGGACTACACCTGCTGCTACCTCAGTAGTGTTCCCCTGAATCTCAATTTTTACTGGGATGGTGGGGTAATAACCAACTGTCCCATGGACACATGTTATCCCCGTATGCTTAGCCCACAGTAGCTGACTACGCTTCACGAGCTTCCCCGAGACATGCGTGATAGCACTCCCCGAATCAACCAGTGCTGTGGTCTCTACCCCATTTAGCTTCACTGGTCTGGTGTACCTATGTGGGGTTAGTGAGACCCCCACAAGGTGGATTAGGGAGCATGTGTCTGCCCAGTTCCCCAGGTTACACTGCATAGGCTCCTCGGCATTGGGACACTGTGCAGCCATGTGTCCCCACTCCCCGCAGGCATAACGTCTGTATGGAGCCCTAGGTTTTCCCCGGTCTCTTGGTTTGGGCAGTTTAACATCACGATCCTCTTTCCCCTCAGTGCTCCAACTCTCTGTGGCTTCTGGTGGGCCTTCAGCCCCTCTCTTTTACCCCCTGGGCTCTCCTGGTGGCCCAGTCACCCGAGCTCTAGGGCTTGGTGCTGCTAGTTTAACCCAGGGTGCTTTTTCCTTAACTGGTCGGGTCAGCTCCCTTGCCGTCCTTCGCCTTTCTACCAGCACGACAACCTCGTCGTAGGTGGAGGGTTCGTTCTGGCTTTCCCAGGCGCGAAGGTGTGGCGGTAGTCCTCTCATGTACCGGTCGATGAGCAGAACCTCTAGTATCTCCTCCGGACTCCGGGACTCAGTTCATAACCCCTTTTGTGCAAGATGGATGCGGTCATATAATTGGGACCATGGGGTTTTGTTTTCCTGGTACCTCCACTCATGATATCGCTGGGCCCGCACTGCGGTCGTTACCCCAGATCCGCCAGGATCTCTGCTTTCAGCTGGGGGGTAGTCTGCCGCAGCCTCTTCAGGCAAATCATAGGAGGCCTTCTGGGCCTCCCCACACAGGAACGGCGCGAGGATGCCAGACCACTGTTCTCGGGGCCAAACCTCCCGCAGGGCATTCCTCTCAAAGGCCAGGAGGTATGCCTCTACATCATCCTCCCGCGTCATTTTCTGCAGCCAATTGCTGGCCCGCATGATCTGCGTCCCATCATGGCTGCAGTTCAGCTCTGTAAGTGCTTTTACCTGGTTTACCAGTTCCTGAAACATAGCCCGGTCTTGAGCAGCCTGGTCCATCAACAGGCGATTAGTCTCTTGCTGCAGCCTCACTGCCTCCTGTTGGGCGGCTGCCTGGACACTGGGAGCTTCATGCTGGGCAGTTGTGGCTTGTAACAGTGCCCGCACTACGTCCTCCATTGTGGTGAGGGAAAAAAAAACCCTCTCCCTTTTTTTTTCCCCAAACACCCTCCTTCTGCTGTGCTGTGCACACCAGATCCTACTTCTGACACCAGTTGTGACAAAGTTCCTCCTCTACCTCGGTGGGTCTTGCACTTATTGGCAGATTTGTTCACCTTGGAGCTTCACGGCAGTCCTCAGTTTGGCCGTTTTTGTGAACCCACAGTCCAGGTCAACTCCTCCTGTGTCTGACCAGGAGTTGGGAGGTTTGGGGGGAACCCGGGCCCACCCTCTACTCCGGGTTCCAGCCCAGGGCCCTGTGGAATGCAGCTGTCTAGAGAGCCTCCTGGAACAGCTATGCGACAGCTACAACTCCCTGGGCTACTTCCCCATGGCCTCCTCCCAGCACCTTCTTTATCCTCACCATAGGACCTTCCTCCTGGTGTCTGATAATGCTTTACTCCTCAGTCCTCCAACAGTATGTGTTCTCACTCTCAGCTTCTAGCGCCTCTCGCTCCCAGCTCCTTGCATGCACCACAGACTGAAGTGAGCTCCTTTTTAAACCCAGGTGCCCTGATTAGCCTGCCTTAATTGATTCTAGCAGCTTCTTGATTGGCTGCAGGTGTTCTAATCAGCCTGTCTGTCTTAATTGTCTCCAGAAAGTTCCTGATGGTTCTGGAAACTTCCCTGTTCCCTGAGCCAGGGAAAAGGGACCTACTTAACCTTGGGCTATTATATCTGCCTTCTGTTATTCTCCTGTAGCCATCTGGCCCGACCCTGTCACAGTAGATAGAGAACAAATATGTGATAATGCGCTCTTTAGTCTAGCAGAGAATGGTCGAGCAAAATGCAATGGCTGGAAATTGAAATTAGGAAAGTCAGACTGGAAATAAGGGTAAATTTTTAAGCGTGAAGGTGATTAGGCGTTGGAATAATTTACAAGGGGTTGCGGTGGATGCTCCATCACTGGAAATTTTTCAAATCAAGATTGTAGCTGCGTTTGTTCTTGGCATTATTATTACAAAGGCTGCTATTGTTATCTTTAAATATATTTTTTTCTTTTTTAGGAGACTTGGAAAAGAGAAAAAGTAAGTCTGTGACCTGTTTCTTCCATGTGCTCTACTGTTGTGTAGGAGTCTTCTAGAATGAAAAGAAAAATCATTGATTTATTAGACCTTACCCACTTTCCTGTTTTTGATAGAGTAGATTACGAGGCTAATTTTGTCAATAACATATATGAGCACTTGCTGGTTCTCAGCAGTGCTGCTCATACATTGCTGAAATTGAAATAGACTCACCCACTAGTTGTTTGTATTCTCCAAGAACTATAACACTCTTGCAGAGACACGGTAGGAAAGGCCACGTACACACTGAAAGGACGCTGCATTGAATCAGCAAATGGAAGGCAGCTCATGATGTAAATGGTGTTACTGCTCCTTTCATAGCAGAACCCATACTGGCAGAGGAGCGTAGTGTGTCATATTCACCTTTTGCTGATTAGTTGTCACCATGAAGTTTTTTCTTCAATTGATCAAAGCAAGAATATCATCTTCTCTATCTACTCCATAGCGGAATAGGTATGGGGCTCGCCCACGGATTGAAGAGGTAGGTCACTACCCATGGCCAATATTTATGCTAATCAACAAAGAAAGGATCTCATTCACCCTCTTCAATCCATAAGTCAATGGACATTCACTGAACTGTTTTCTTCTTCTCCCCATTTTTCTTTTGCAGCGGAACTCCAGGAGGAAATGGGTGAGTTTGCCTACTTTACTTAATACTTACAGTCCACTGACTAAACTTCGTTTGCCCTGTATTGGTTCCAACAATTTCAGCTGCAGAAGGGATGCTCTCATTGCATGCCCCGTGCATCTGGGCAGTGGAGGGTCTGTGCAGATTACTCTGGAATCCTGGTATGTCAGCGAGCTGAGACCTCATCAGCACTTTGCAAAGAAAGTCAGAGGGGGTCGGGGTTCAAGGGCAGTCGGGCAGGAGAGAAAAAACATCTACATGCTACAGGAACTGAACATATCCACTGAATGGAAAAGCTCTGGATGGGGAGTGTGGCAGGACCGAGTTGCTCGTGCTGTGCCTGACCTTGTAGTAGCTGAAGCCATGCGGACACTCCACCCTGTGCGTCAGGGATGGAGGGAGAATTGTCTGCCCGAAACTTCCCCCAAACTCGGAACCCACGTCCTGTGCAGAGCCCCCAGTGTTGGATCTTTGACATTCCCCCTGCAAAGGAAGTGCTGATAGTCACACAGGGATGTTTGAGCAGGAAATAGACCCTAGATATTCTGTCTTCCGGTCCAGTGTATTCACGATGAGAGCAAGGTGATGGCAGAAACTTTCCATGGGAATGTGTCTATTTCAGGGAGAAAAAGGCTTTTTGGATGAAAAAAAGAGACACAAAAGCATCTCCGTAGAGTCAAAAGTTTCTATTTCCTCCATATTAAAATGGACTGTTCTGAATTTTCACTTCGAAATGAAGGAGACATTGTTAAGGTTTGATTCAGTCACCCAGTTCTGTGGGGGCAGTGTAGGCAGAGGGGCCAACGTTTTGATTTCCTTGATGGTGCTTGACCACCTGTCTGCCCAGGCCCTGCCCCTACTATACCCCTTCCCTCCAGGCCCCACCCCTTCCCTGCCTCTTCCCGCTCCCACTCCGCCTCTTTCTGCCCCGTTCCACCGCCTCTCCCAAGAGCGCCCTGCGCTTGTTCCGCCTCTTCCTGTCCATGCTCCTCCCCCCTGAGCACCTCCTGCCCTCTGCAGAACAGCTGATCAGTGTGGGCAGGAGGTGCTGCGGTGGAGGGGAAGGAGCTGATTGGCCGGGCCAGCCGGTGAGTGCTGAGCACCCACGCTTTTATTCCATGGGTGCTCCAGTCCTGGAGCACTGATGAAGTCGTCACCATGGAGGCTGTTGAGAGGAAAGAAATGTTCATTAACCCAGTTTTCAGAAAAAAAGACAAATAGGACATATGTGAGCCTGTATCTCATTTCACAAACAATGGCATGATGGCAAGAATGAGTTTGCTTTGATTTCTGAGATGATCACACAGAGTGGGATTTGATCAGGGAAATATTTAGCAGCTTGTTCTACACTGCACCCAGGAAATCACGGTAAGTCTTAAACATCTCTGTGGGGTTTCATACAGTGCCCCGAGGGGGAACTCTTGATATTGAAAGACAGAGTATCCCCTTGGATGGGAAAGTTCTTCTGGGAACTTCAGGGGTCTTTAATTGCATCCCGCATCAGTGAGGGGGGTTCTCCCCTCACACAGCAGAATTCAGCACATGCTGGAATAGCCACAAAGTCCAGGAGTCTGACAGATACCAGCTCTCATGCTCAGAGGTCTTGTGACTTTCTGCCAGAAGAGTTTCCTGGATGCCCCTGTCCCTGGCAGCAGTGTGCTGAGGGTGCTGTCCCCGTGCATGCCTGAGCTCTCCAGTAAGAGCTGTTAACCCCTTTATATACAATCCCACCTACTGTTCCCCAGGGTGATATCATTCAAGAACCCACTCACCATTCCTGTCCCATGACTGGGCCAGTCAGACACAGATTGTCTGTGATCTGAACAGGTGCAATTTCTTTCTCAGCATGGCTGTACCCTTTTCCTTGAACCTCACAAAACCCCTTCAGTAGGAATGGGTTGGGTAGGCAGAGGGCCAGAGGGCATGGGGATGATCTTAAATAGGACTCTGAAGGTTATATTAGTTCTGTCTTTGGCTCTGCCACTGGAATACTGTGTCCATTTCTGGTGTCCCCAATTTCTCATCATCTTCATTAGACGACGCAGTGATGCCAACCCCAACCCCCCAGCATCTGCTAATTTAATGGACATGGGCTTCTTATTTTCATATCCCACACCAAACTCTCTGGTGGTCAATGCGGTGAATGAAATGGGGAGACAACATCACTCCAAAATGACTCCCAGTGTTGAAGAGTGGAAGAGGATAGATGTCTCAATGGCAATTCTAAAATTCAGAATTTCCCATTATGAGGCTTTGTCAATAGCAACATCAGTGGTTATGAGATGGAGTTCATGGCCACACCTGTTGGGATTCCTGAAGGAAGTGCAGGCCGCAGTAGAGGATGTGCCATTCAAAAGCTCCAAACCATTTGCCAACTGGATTGATGAATCCCTCTATTCCCTAAAAGATTCAAAAGCAACATTGAGATCACTCAGCATTTATACACAGCACAGAAGAAAAGACCAGGTAGATATCACCCTGCCCCAAGATCTTGTCCTCTGGCTGTCCTAACTCAATGACACTCTGACCTGCAGTGGAGATAACAGAGACCTCCTTCTAAACGTAGACAGGCCCCATCACAATCATCTACATCTCATGACCTTCCTCAAAACTGCAGTTTTGAGAACTTGGTTGAGTCCCCGAGACACTTCCACCTAGACCATGTGCTGCCACCCTCAGAAACTCTTCATCAATTTGCTGACCATCTGACCCCATTCTACCCAACATGGCGGAATGTCACCTCAGACAAGTGGGCGTTGGAATTCATCAGCAACGGAAACCCGATTCCATATCTATCCCTCCTGCCTATCCCGCCACCCGTCCCTCTTCAGGGACATTTCTCACTGTAGTGAGGTGGTGTGGTTCCCCGCCACTCCTGAGAGAGACGAGTACCTCCGGACACCAGAGTGGGCAGAGGCAGGGAGCTCTGAGCCCATCCCTCATTGGGTCAGGCGTTGCCCTGGAAGTATAAAAGCTCGACCTCAGAGCTAACTGAGAGAGCAGCTGCCGGGGAGGCCAGATGCCTCCAGCCTAGCTTGCGACTGGGAAACCCCAGTGGCCCGTGGTAAACCTGAGGACTGGCCCGACCTGCCCCACGCCAGCTACCAGGAGGAGTTACCGAGTCTACCCCTCGCCAGCTGTCCCGAGGAACCCATGGTGCTGGACCCCCCTGAGGACACCACCCCGACCCAGGTACCTCCAGAGGGGGAGTCTGGCAGTAGCCCGGGGGCAGCTGACCCTAGTCTGGCTGCAGCATGGCCAGAACCCATGTCAGTGTGTAGCGGCTGGGATTCCCCGATGCAGCAGTGGGTCGTCTGCCGCTGCTAGGGCCCCGGGCTGGGACGCAGTGGAGTGGGAGGGCATGGGTCTCCCCTGCCACCCAAACTCGTGGGTGGCAGCCTCCCCCTCTCCCCGGGCCTTTGTAACCAAGGGCCTCGCTCGCTGCTTATGTACTGTTGTTGCTCAGCCCCTGCCTGAGGGCCTGAGAGCCTGACTCACCCTTGCCCCGCCCTGACCTCGGGCCTGGGCTCACTGTGTTTGTTTATGCTGTCACAAGGGCCCCTGAGGAAGACCCCCGCCGCAGAACTAATTCCCCACAAGACCTCTTGCTGTGTTTATTGAGGTGGTGTGGTTCCCCGCTGCCCCGGAGAGAGACAAGCCCCGGCTCACCTCTCTACATGTGGTGGAGAATGTGGGCACAATCCCTCAACCCCTGTGAGAAGGGGTCTGGGGGGGGGCACGCACCCCAGAAAGAGCCATGGATGTGGACAAACTTATCAAGCTCCTGACAGAGAGCCAGGAGCGGCAACAGGCCGCCCAGCAGCAGCAGCAGCAGCTGATTAGGGACCTGCGGGTTCAGCACCAGGAACACCAACGACATCGCATACAGCAGCTCGCGATGGCACTGCCTTGCCCCGCGGAGCCCCAGCCAGGAGATGCAGCTGGGTCACCCCGCACCACTGCGCCGCTGCGGCTAACCAAGATGGGACCTGATGATGGCCCCGAGGCCTTTTTAGTAACTTTTGAAAGGGTGACACTGGTTGCAGGGTGTTAGGATATAGATATTCAGGTCTGTCTGTAAAGGCCTATACTCTAAGAATTTAGATGTATTCTTTAGATGTATTGAAGTGTTCTCCGACTGGCTTATGAATGTTATAATTCTTGACATCTGATTTGTGTCCATTTATTCTTTTATGTAGAGATTGGACACAAATCAGATGTCAAGAATTATAACATTCATAAACTAGTCGGAGAACACTTCAATCTCTGGTCATGCAATCACAGACATGAAGGTCGCTATCTTACAACAAAAAAACTTCAAATCCAGACTCCAGCG